TTCCTTCTTACAAGGTACGGAACTCTGCAATTTACTAGCTAGTACTAGATTTCCCTAGGTCTCCATTCTTGTCCATAAAGTCAGAGCACACAGTTCTCTGAGGGCCCCTCCAGCTCTGAGACACTATTGATTACAATGTTCGCTGTTTGACAGATACATTATAGTTTGTTACAGTAAAACATTTTAAAGGCTCATTTGTAAAATTAACTTGGCTAATGAGGAAAGGAAGAGAAAGGATCAAATCAAACATGTATAAAGGAGCCATGGACAAAGCCAAATTGGGGAAGGAGTGAGGGAGGGAGGTGAGTGTGTGTGGGGCAGGGGAAAGTGGTGGTGGGAAAATGGAGAAAAACATATTTGAACAATAAAAAAAAAATTAATTCAGCTAAAAGAATGAATACACATAAAGGTCCAGGAGTTTTGTTTTGTTTTCTTTTCCCCCCTGTAGTTTTTGTCTCCCATGGGAGGCAGGAATCTATGTTAATTCCAGCCACCTATCAATTTAGCAAACATGAATCCCCCTGGGTTAACTTAAGGAAAGTTGTATTTCTGAAAATAAGAAAATCCTGGATTGGGACTTAAAAGAAAGGATTTGATGTGTGATCAGAAGCTACTGAATGGCACTCAACAAATACTTATCAAACAAATGCATCAAAACTCCTGCATATGCTACTACTTTGCCCATCTTTTCTCAAAGGTCTACCTGTGAAATTACAGAAGAGGACCAAACTATAGGAAAGTGAGGTATACAAATCATCAGAAAAGGTAATTTCCTCAGCGAATATGATGGGATGTCACTAGCTATCTCACACAATGTGAAATTGACGTTACTTCTGAGAGAATATTAGGAAGTAAAACCCCACATGTCAAGTCACCTACCTACAGAAGATAGCTGCTCTCACCTTCCCTCTTCCCCAGAATCACCAGCTACAGACCACACAATGGGAAGTGTGTGTTCCTACTGAAGTGTGGCCTCATGCTTGTGGCTTGTGGAACTGCCTCCAGTGTGAAGGCAGATGGCACAGCACAAAGGCAGAACTGAATGGGGCATTGTTAACGCTTCGTAGAGAAGAGGAAGCTTTGGCCACAACTCCCAGGGCAGCAAACTGCTATTGCTTGAAGGTGCTGCCATTATAAAAATGATGATATCACCCTTTATCTGGCACTGGTCTAAATACTTTTGGCGCATTTCTCATTTATTTTTATGTCAACAGTTTGGGAGAGATCATTATCCTTATTTAATACATTAATAAAATAAGGGCCACAGGTGTTACGAAACTTGTTCAAGTTCACACAGCTATGTAGGGGACAGAACTTGGATTAGAATCTACAACTGTCCTAACCTCTGCACTAAATCTCCTTGCTCTGATTCAGCAGCCCCCCAGCTCCTCAGGTAATATTTTCTAAAAGAGGAGACTGGTCAGCAGAGACAGTGAGGTACAAGAGAGAGTAAATGTTGGAAGCCAGCTGACCTTCCAACACAGGTGCTCATTTATGAGCTACGGGATAATGAGGGGTCTTCACTTTCCTCATCTGTAGAATAGGCATACTTAGTGACTTCACAGGGAAAACCCCTCTTACAGTCAGCTGCAGGGCAGTCTCTTCACACATGTCATTCACTTTCCCTTCCCCGCCTCAAAGTGATGAAGGGACCTTGTTAAGTTGACATTAATATATGGGATTCTTCGGTGTTTGGTACAACCTGGTGGGGTCGCACATCAGAACAAGCAGTTATTTTGTCCATGCACTTAATGTTTGTTAAGAAGAAAGTTGAAATATGATCAAAATCAGTCATGTTGGGATAAAGCTGGCCGCAACTCATGTGGAAAATGCTGTTCATTTTTTTTTTCTTCCCAAAACTGCTCACAGCATCTCTCACCCATCACAAGCCTCAGTTCTTCCTCCTGGGGTCGGGGGAGGGCAGGTAGGGACAGTCTTTCTGCCAGCACCTAGTTGAGTGGCACATGAGCTCTTTTTAGCTGTGGCACTGAGTAACAGCGTGGAACTCCTGTGTCAAATCAGGTTTGATTCTGTTCTCCATGGCTGCACTGTCCTGGGCCCTGCGCCAGTCATTAGGAAGGACATAGGAATAAGTTATGGTCACTGTCTTGGTCACAGAGCTCTTAGTTGTGAACAACAGGACCTGCTCCATTATGAGCAGGAGAGGAATTTATAAAGATGTCAGTTAGCTCTTAGGCTTTGTGGAATGCCAGAGACACAGGCTTAGAGGGCATGAGGCCAGATGAGTCACCCCAAACCCCACTGCTGATGGCTCCAGTAAGACCTACTGCTCATAGTCACTGCCCCTCACACAGCTGATGCTGCACACTGGACTGAAGAGACCCTTGCCCTGGGAGTCACATCCTCCACCATCACTCCCAAGGGAGACTATGTGATGCCAGTTTCCATGAACCTCTTTGTGGAGTACTGCTCTGTGTGTCTGATTGTGGAACTCAGGTCACATGCCTGTAACACAGATGATAGAACACAAACTCCTAACTACTACACAGATATGCTGGGACTCACACTGTGAGTTCTTCATATTTGGTGTTTCAAAAGAAACTGAGGGGCGTCACTAACCATAACAAATGTGCCTCTGACTTCCAGGACTTAGAGTCCATGAGCAATTTAAACGTAAGTGGGAGAAAGCACAAGTGTGCAGGAGCCTGTGGTGTCCCTGGTGAGTGGGAAGGCAGCTTTTTAAGGGTGCCAGAGAGGTAATCACATGGTATTGGGAGGTGGCAAAAATGGGTTCACAGTGGTAGAGGATGGCACAGGATGAAATCACTGTGGCCAGCTCGGAAGAGCTTTGAGGGCCAACTGGCCCTTTAAGAGGATTGAACTGTCACCTGTGGGTAGAGGAAACCCTGGGTGGAATTTTAGGCACTGTAGCAAGCTATGGGGAAAATATCTTGGGATAAAATGGTCTTTGGACTGAATTGTGTCTCCTCTCAAATTCATACGTTGATGTCTTAACCCCCAGCACCTCAGAATGTGACTATATTAGATATAGGCTCTTTAAAGAGGTTAAGTTAAAATGAGGTTGTTAGTTTGGGTTCTAATCCAATATGACGAGTGTCCTATTTTTTAAAAAAGAGTAAGATAGGACACAGACACACACAGAAGAAGATCTTGTAAAGGTACAGGGAGAAGATGCCATCTGCAAAATCAAGGAGAGGGACCTCAGGAGAAATCAACCCTGCCAACATCTTGATTTCAGACTTCAGGACTCCAGACTATGAGAAAAAGGATTTCTGTTGTTTAAGCTGCCCAGTCTGAGGTATTTTGTTATGGCAGCCTGGGCTGACTCATGCAAACGGTAAGCTTCTTAAATATACCAGGGGGTTCTGCTTGCTGCTGGTCCCCAAAGCCATCATGGGCATAGTGAGGGCAAGCAGGAGTTTTTTTTGAAGATCATTGTTGAGCAGAGAGAAGGCTTACTTGGTGCAGCAGAGAGTAAAGACTTAAGATTTAATGTTGGGAAATACCTTGTCTGGTTTCAGGACTTCTAACTCCACTGACAGACTGGAGGGCCCCAAGGCTGGAAATAATATGAGTGGCCTTGGAGAAACAGGTTCCTGAGGAGACATAACTTGTCCCCCCTGGCAGGGGCATAGCTCCTGCCTCTGCTTTGCCATGGATGATCAGTGATCCATTACAGGTAAGTTATCTTGAGCTGAGGTACACAACCTAAGACAGATGCCGATCGAATATTGGCAGCAGACAAGAAATTGGGGGACACAGAGAAAGGGCAAAAAGGCCTGCACCCCTTGGCTCAGCTTGGACATGGCCGGAGCCCTCATTGTATAGGAAAGAAGCCTCCTTGTCTCTTGGTGGCTACTCCCCTGCCCCCCAACCCCCGGCTCAGGCTTGAAACAATACCAGAGTCTGTTCTAAAACAGACCTGGTGGTCCCCAGGGAAATCAGGCCTAAAAGTAAATTCTTTAAAGTGTGCTTTGTTCTTCAGAAGCTATAGCCAACTCATGCTGGAAAGGAAATTTACATTATTCACAGACCCTAACCCTATATCCTTAGGCACTGTTATGTTTACTGTGCTCTCCAGTTTAGTCATCTCTCTTGTTTAGCTAGTCTCCTCTCGGACCCATGTAAATCGTGTGTTCCTGCCATTTGTTTTCTTCAAAACATCCCCCATTGTCTGTGAACATTAACACACGGATGTAATGAGATAACCTGTGCATTCCTGTTACCTAGCCCCACTGATAACCTTTTCAATAAAAGCCTTTGAACAAAGGGACTTGGAGCCTCCCTACTAGAGGGATGTGCCACATCTCCTCTTCTGGCAAATAGAGAAGTGTTTGTGACGACTAGTGTTTATTCCCCTCATTAGTGACAACCCCAGGATGGGTTCTGCGGGATTCAGAGCCCTGCTCCCACCTCAGCTGGCCCTGGACTGTAACTCTCAGATCCAGGAGTGCGCGTGCTCCATCGCCCCCAGCAGATGCTGCACCCACCTGGGGTGAGTAGTGCTCCCCACAGTGGCATGCCCCTGTCTTGCGGACTTGCTACAATTCAAGAAGAGGTACACAAAGTTCAAGCTGTTTGAGCACATGTGACTTGTCAAGGGAGACAGGGCTGCAGAGTGCTTTCTTTTTCCACAGAGGGCATGTCTGTACTTTCACAATAGACCTTAGGAGTGCCCTGCGGGGCCTTCTGGGCTGACCCACTGAACTATTCTACTGTCTCTTTGAAGTCTAACTTTACCACCTGGCTGTGTGATTGGTGTCCCTGAGCTTCTGTTACTCTGTGAAATCAAATAAGATAGCCCATCGTGTGCCTAGTCATCTACCCAGCTTAGGGGGGAGGCACAGGAAAGGGGAGTTCTCTTCTCTGCTCTTTCATGTCAAGAGCAAATGCATATCAGGATTGGAAATGGCAAGAGTAAACATATACTTAGGGTGGAGACCTGATTACTGAATAACTCATAAATCTTGTGAAACCAGTTCCCTGTTGACAGTCAATCCTCTGTAAACACCAAGTATGTCCTTGGCACATTATCTTTCCTAATCATGCCAGATACGTGGTAGTCTTCTCCTATATAAATTTACTGTGACTTTCCCTGGATGTATATGCCTGTAAGGACTCTAACTCATCACAATGGTAGGTAACTGATTGTTTTATACATAAAGACCTCTAAACCAATAAATTATATACAGTATATTCCTTATTATAATGTGTTATGATGCGTGTTTCTACTGGATACAATTTAATGGTAAATGTGAGCCTAACTATGAATCTTCTAAAGATTACTTGCAATTCAATGTATAGAGTATAATGAGAGGTTGGGAGTTTGAGAAAACTCTTAATGAATTTAGTGCTATTTCTATTCTCTAACATCAAAGCTGTTGTTTCTTCCAGTAATTTCAGGATTCAATTAAGCTTTATGTGTCTCTAATTTTTGACTGATTTGTGGATTAAATATAATTTCAGAGCTATAACACTGCATCATTTTACAGATGAGAAACTGAGCCTGTGGTGAGGAAGAAGTAGTCACTATCCTGCGGGCAGTTGAAACAGGAACCCAGATGTCCCTCTCTCTAGGCCAGTGGCTCCCAAACCAGGCTGCACAGTGGAATCACCTAGGCATGTTTGATAAATACTGACAACTGACTGCCACACCAGACATCTGAATTAATTGGTCCATAGTGTGTCCTTGGGAACTGGGGGGGTTTTTAAAAGCTGCCAGGTGATGTTAATATTCAGCAAAATTTGAGAACCATCACCCTAGGCCCTTTTTTAGTGTATCATGTTGTAGTAAGAGAGAATTTTGCATCAAAGTCTATGAAAATTCATCTATTTTTCCTTTCTGTCTTTAATTCAAACTTGGTCTTTTGTAAAATATCCTTTGCTAATGCCAGTGAAAGAGGATGAGCTGGGCTGCTCTCGGGGTGCAGAGGAGCAGAGGGAGGAAGTGGCTGATGAACAGGAGTAGAAAAGTCGTCTCAGACCACACTTGAGAAACTGTCTCAAAAAGACAAAGCCAGGAGTAGTAGAAAAACAGTGGGGTGGGAGCCTCCTCTTCCGTTCAGGTCTCTCCTTCAGCCTCAGAGTAAACTTTGTAAGTTGCAGAGCTGGCAACATCCCTGCCCTGCATAGAACCCTTAAAGGCACCTGACTCCTGATCATGTAGGGAAGACCCAAGGAGCAGCAGCTTACCTAAACGGACACTATTTCTAGGCACTGCTTCACTTTAAGCCTGGCATGAAGCCACACCATCCAGAAAGTGCAACAAATACCTGCCTCACAGCTGTAGTGTCGCTATTCCTGCACGTTTCAGGTGCACTCATCTTTACTGAATGCTGCAAAGGAAGCAAAGAAAGGATGGAAGGGAGGTGGAGAAATAGCATAAGGGAACAGGAAAGGACTTTAGAGCTTTTCTACTCAGGTGGTCCTCAGCCCAGCAGCAGGGGCATCGCCTGGGAGCTTGCTAGAAATTCGGACCCTTTGAGTCCCACAAAAGCAGAATCTGCATTTTATTTTATAAGATTTCCCGGGGATTCACATACACATTAAAGCAGTACTGGTTTTGATTATGTTTCCTTGTGCTTCTCTACTGGGGGACTTGGTAAAGATGCAAAGGCCTTGGCCCTGTCTGTCTTCAATGAACTTGAGGTTTTATTTGTTATTAAGCCTGGGTTACTTTGATGCCCATCCAAGCAGGAGAATCTTTGTTTTTATAGGGGCAGAAACTGAAGCAGAGAGAGCAGGTGGGGGCCATGGAGGTTATATGTGAGATATGGTCAACTGGTTAATTTCAAAATTGGATACTTTTATCTATCTTGTCACCATGTTTGAACTCCATCCTTGAGTCATTCAATTACGTGCCTCTGCTGAGAGCAGCGGGAGATCTGGGAATTCTGCACCCTTCACTCACCCTGGGCTGCAGCCCTGGCTTGTGCACTTTGATGCCTCTGTTCTGTGTCTGGATAAAACAGGACCTCAAGATTCCTGTGATAACCAGCACTGCCCAGGAGCCCTCTTTCTGTATGAAGGGAACAGAAATTCTGTCAATAATGCTGGCTTTTAAATGTAATTTAATTTTGAGAAAAAAATTCAGGTTTCCACAATCATCTTAAGCTGAATATTGTGCAAAAGAATAAAATAAAGAGAGCAAGTGCAAACTCAAATTCTGATGGGTGCTAACTATATTGAGAGTTTCTTGCAGAAATTCATTTATTTTATTTTATTATTTTTTTTGGTTAAAAAACCAATGCTTGTCATTGGAGACAATTTAGAAAATAAAAGGAAAAGCCCAAAGAAAAATCCCACAGCTCAAAAATCACTTGTTAAAACTTGATACAAAAACTTTAATCTTTTTCTGAGCATTTCCCTCTATGTGGGTCTTCTTTACATTATAGAAATAACACCATGCAAATCTTTTTGTTACCTGCTTTATTTCACTTTGTCATAATAGTGATCATTTACATCATTTCATATTCTCTTGCCTCCTAAGTTTACCAGTTCTTTTTTTTTCTGAATCACCGTGTTCTCAGACAGCCCTGTTTTGGGGCATTTTGATTATTTCCAGTTCCTGCTACAGTGAGCATCCTTGAGAAGTCTATCTCCTTCTCTGTGCCATTCTTCTTAGGATCAAGTCTTACAAGTGAAAGAGGTGAAGGCAAATGTTGTAAACCATTTTAAGAATATGGATATACATGATCAGATTGTGCTCCATAAAGATTATTTCAACATAAACTATACTTGTGCAATTTACTTCCCAGATATGTCTCTATTTCCCACTGGGTATTAGAAATTAAATAATGATTTTTGTCATCACACTATGGTTCTATTTTGTTTACATACTTACATTTCTGGTCTCATCAGTAAAAAGTTGAACTTTTCCATGTGTTTGTTCATCATTTCTATTTGTGTATGTGAGTGAGGAATGCCACTTTATTTTCTTTGCCATTTTTGTACTAGGATATTTTTATTTTTCTCATTGATATACAGAAATTCTTTATGTGATAATGCTGTTCTCCAAATTTGGTAATTGTTTTTTAATTTTGTTTATGGGCTTATAACTTTTACATATTCAAAATTATTTCTTTTCTTTTTTATACTTAGAATAAGATAAATATTTACTTATATTTTCTGTGATTAATTAATGATCTTTAAATTTTTTTATTGATTCCAGAGAGAGGGGAAAGGAGGGAGAAAGAGAGGGAGAGAGACATCAATGTGAGAGAAGAACATTGATTAGTTGCCTCTTGCATACACCCTGACTGGGAACCAAACCTGCAGCCCAGGCATGTGCCCTGACTGGGAATTGAACCCCCGACCTTTAGATTTGTGGGACAATACCCAACCAACTGAGCCATACCAGCCAGGGCTAAAATTTTTAAATTATAGTTGACATACATTATTATATTAGTTTCAGGTGAATCTGTCACCATACAAAGTTAGTGCATGATCTAATTGTAAAATATATATATATATATATATATATATATATATATATATGAATGATTGATTATGCTACAGTTGTCCCTTTTTTATCTCCTCTTTCTTCCCCTCTGCCCTGCACCTACCCTCCCACCAGCATTCTACCCCCAACCTTTAGTTCATGTCCATGGGTCGAACATATAAGTTCTTTGGCTTCCCCATTTCCTATACTATTCTTAACATCCCCCTGTCTATTTTGTACTTACTATTTATGCTTCTTATTCCCTGTACCTTTTTCCCCATTCTCTCCCTTCCCCCTCCCCTCTAATCTCCAATTCTGTGATTCTGTTTCTGTTCTAGTTGTTTGCATAGTTTGTTTCTGTTTTTTTTTTCTTTTAAGTTCAGTTGTTGATAGTTGTGAGTTTGTTGTCATTTTACTGTTCATAGTTTTTGATCTTCGTTTTCTTAGATAAGTCCCTTTAACATTCTATATACTAAGGATTTGGTGATGATGAACTACTTTAACTTGACCTTATCTAGGGAGCACTTTATCTGCCCTTCCATTCTAATGATAGCTTCGCTGGATAGAGTAATCTTGGTTGTAGGTCCTTGTCTTTCATGAGTTTGAATACTTCTTTGTAGCCCCTTCTTGCCTGCAAGGTTTCTTTTGAGAAATCAAAGATAGTCTTATGGGAACTCCTTTGTAGGTAAGTGGCTCCTTTCCTCTTGTAGCTTTTAAGATTCTCTCCTTATCGTTAATCTTGGGTAATGTAATTATGATGTGCGTTGATGTGTGCTTCCTTGGGTCCAAATTCTTTGGGACTCTCTGAGCTTCCTGGATCTCCTGGAAGTCTATTTCCTTCATCAGATTGGGGAAGATCTCCTTCATTATTTTTTAAATAAGTTTTCAATTTCTTGCTCTTCCTTTTCTCCTTCTGGCACCCCTATGATTCGGATACTGGAACATTTAAAGTTGTCCCAGAGGTTCCTAAGATTCTCCTCACTTTTTTTGAATTCTTGTTTCTTCATTCTGTTCTGGTTGAATGCTTATTTCTTCTTTCTGCTCCAGATTGTTGATTTGAGTCCTGGTTTCCTTTCCTTTACTGTTGGTTCCGTGTATATTTTTCTTTATTTCACTTTGCATAGCCTTCACATTTTCCTTCATTTTGCAACCATACTCAACCATTTCTGTGAGCATCCAGATTACCACTGTTTTGAACTGTTCATCTGATAGGGTGGCTATCTCTTCATCGCTTAGTTCTATTTTTGGAGCTTTGATCTGTTCTTTCATTTGGGCCATATTTCTTTGTCTCAGCATGTCTGTTATGTTGGAAGGGGCGGAGCTTTAGCTACTCTCCAGGCTACGGCAACCCAGGTCGCTGGGTTGTGAGGTTGTATGTGGGAGAGGGGTCTGAGAGGGAACAATGCTGCTTGCTTGGCTCTCGGTGGGCTTTCAGTCACTTTCCCTGATACCCACTAGTAAATTGGGCCCTTCTAGTGCTGATTCCCCAGTGGGTGGGTTTGTGTACATTCTCGGACCCTGTGGGTCTCTCTAATGAACTCTCCTGTGAAGCTGGGAGTATCTCCCACTGCCACATCCCTCAGAGGATTTTAGAGCCAGAGGTTTTGAGGCTTTCTTTTCCTGCACTGGAACCCCGGGTTTTGCAGTCTGCCCTGCTCCACAGCTGTTCCTGCCAGTTTATCCACATGCAAATGTGGGACTGCCCTGTCTGCCAGGTGCCTTCGCACCCACCTGGTCCTCCAGCTGCTGCCTTGCATCGCATCCTGTCCAACCCAGCTGCCCATCTCTGCCCCTCCAGCTGGTCTGGATGAATATTTCTTATTTAACTCCTTGGTTGTTGGACTTCCATACAGTTTGATTTTCTGTCAGTTCCGGTTATTTTTTGTTTTCAAATTTCTTGTTGTCCTCCTTTGATTGTGCGAGGAGGCAAAGTGTGCCTACCTATGCCTCCATCTTGGCTGGAAGTCCTTTTATTGTAAAACCTTTAAGTCCTTTGAGAATTCATTTGCGGGAACTAAAGTAGAAAATTAACTGTTTCTTTTCAAAATAGCTCACCATTTGTTCTAATATTATTTACTGAATAATCATTCCCTAAAGATTTCAAAGACTAAGTTTATTTTATAGTAAACTTTTGTATGTATTTATAAACATATTTTCTGTAGTTTCTATGCTATTCCCTTTACTTCTCTTTCTATTCTTATATCAGTAATGCACTACTTCAGGTAGTATCAGTTCATAATTAATTTTAGACATCTTATAAAACACATACTTTCACCCCACCTTCTTCTTACAAGGTCCTGGAAATCCCCACATTAAAGTTTGTTTATTTAGTTTGCACATCTCAAAATGATGACAAAAACAACTTTATACTTTTCTTTGTCCTACAGATCCAGTATCAGCTAGATGAACTAATATGTTCATGCAGCCATCAACAATGCATTATCACCTGGAAAATGAAGTTCTCAGCCTCATGGTCTAAGAATTGCAACTAACTCAGCTCCATTAAGTCTCCTATTGTGTTTTCTTCATCTTTTTGTCAATGTTTTATTATCTTCCTGAAGCTCTCTTCCTCTCCCTCATTTCTGTCCTTTAAATTATACATACTCTGCAAAGAGGCTAAAAAATCAACTATCTGCAAGACTTCCCCGAACCTCCTCTGTAATAAAATAGCACACTATCATTATTTTTATTGGCCTTTGACTCACATTTATCTCTTTTTTCAGTTTATTTTAGTAACTTGGGTAGGTCTTGTTCCTTTTTTTGATTTCTTGATGGTAGAGGCTCCAGCTTTATACCACCTGCCAGAGCCCAGCTGGGGTCACCCTACAGGACACTCAGTCAATGATTTCCATCTGAATTCATTTGTTTTCCTTCCTGACCTTTCTTTACATTACAGAATGCTCTTCTGGGCACCTTCATCATTTTGGCGAACTTTGTGACTTTATGCAATGCTCAGTGCTATGTTATACCTAATACAAACAACCCAGGTGATTTATTTAATGGTAAGTCATGACTTTTCAACTTTATTATTTTACTGCAGCATGTTAGATGTAATCTGTTGGCAGATGAAGGCCTTTAAATTTGCATGAGAAAGAGGGTTAGGGCAGATATCAGATGGCATGAAATGAGAGGCTTCAATTTGCCATTTATATAAGACAATAGTTCTCAACACCAGGTGTATGAGAAGTGCTGGGAGAGCTTTTGAAAACTATCAATGCTCAGTGCCATCCAAGACCACATAAATCAGAATCTCTGGTATAGGTGCTGCACATTTAAAAACTTCTTGATTGACCCCCTCCATGCAGGTGAAGAACTGTCGATTATTCCATAGCAGTACTTCTCAAACTTCAAGGTTCATGTAAACCCTCTGAGAATCTTGTTAAACTAAAGTTTCTGATTGTGTGGGCGTGGAATGAGAATGTGAATTTGTATGTCCAACCCAGCCTCAGGTAGTGCTGAGAGTAGTTCTTAAAGCACACTTGAACCACCAAAAATTAAGGCAGCAGTTGTCATCCTTGGCTGAATATTTGAATCGTTTGGGGAGATTTCTAAAAATATGGCAGCCTGGTGCCCATGCCCAGAGATTCTGATTTTACTGTTCTGGGGTGGGATTCAGGTATAGATTTTTTTTTTTAAATATCCAAGATGCTTTACATGTGCATTTATGGTTGAGAAGCAAAGCAAAGGGAGGTAGAAAAATGAGACATTTATCCAGAGATAATCCAACAGAAAAAAAACAGAAAACAAAAAACTTAGCCCCAAGTACCTCTAGGATCTTAATAGCTATCTGATTAAAGAGGAAGGCCTTTTTTTGTTTCCTTGTAATATCTGTACTGAAATAAAATCTGGAAGGATTTAAGCTTGCTGTAAGAAAACATGATCAGTGGCAGGAACTGAACAGTACTGAAATTTAGCTGGGGGTGAATATAGAAGCACTTTACATAGGTGCCCTTAAAGACAATTAGATTTTTCCCTCTCTGGGAGGGATACAGATAACAGGGACTGGCCCCATGTCCTACAAGAGTTGTTCTAGTTGTGTGACTTGGGGACACCACTTATGATGCCACATGTATTATTTTAGAATGCAAGGACCTCAGTGGAGTCACTCACCCACTGAACTCAAAGTGGAAGACTAAGGACTGTGTGGAGTGTTCTTGTGGCCAAGATGGAATTAACTGCTGCAACATGTAAGTCTCAAGCCAGCAGCACTAAGAAGGGGTGCAGCTGCTGTTGGGTTGCTTTCTGAGATACAGATGCTCCCTCTTTCAAAAACCCATCCTGAAGGGGGTTAGTTTTCAGTGCTATTTCTTTTTTTAGTTGTAGTAAAATATACATAACAAAATTTAGCATTTTATCCATTTTTAAGTGTGAAATTCAGTGGCATTAAGTACATTCACAACTTATTTATTTATTTATTTATTTTCCTCACCCGAGGACATTTTTTTCATTGCTTTTAGAAAGAGAGAGAGAGGGAGGGAGGGAGGGAAGGAGGGAGAGAGAGAGGGAGAAAGAAACATCAATGTGTGAGAGAAAAATCAGTCAACTGCCTCTGGTTTGCACTAAATTGGCAACCTAGGTATAGGCTCTCTCCAGGAATTGAACCCATGACCTTTTGGTCTATGGTACAACTCTCCAACCAACTGAGCCACACCAGCCAGGGCAAGTACTTTCACATTTTTGTGCAACCACCTCCACCATTCATCATCAGAATTTTTCAGCTTCCTAAACTGAAACTCCCCACCCAATAAGTAACTCTCCATTCCCTCCTCTCCTCAGTCCCTGGCAATCACCATTCTACTTTCTTTTTCTATGAATCTGACAACCTTAAGCAGAGTTGTACAGTATTTGTCCTTTTGTGACTGGCTTATTTCAGTATAATGTCCTCAAAGGTCATTCATGTTGTAGCATGCCTCAGAATTTCCTTCCTTTTTAAGGTTGAGGAATGTTCCATTGTATACATATATACCACATTTTATTTATTCATTCAACTGTTTTGATAGACATTTGAGTTGCTTTCACCTCAGTCATATTTAAGTTGTTTTGAAACTTGATAGATATATTTCTTATTAAATACTTATATCCAGGTGGGTTGCAAAGATAGGAAATGATACCCAGTGGTCTGAAGCTATTCTAGAATTTAGCTGGTTTTACTTCAGCCTTGGCCTGTGGTGATTTGCAAGAACAGGAGTGGGTCTGCACACAGGCAGAGGGAATGGGTGTGAGGTGTAAAGGATACTCTGTAGTGTTCTTTGTACTCTAAACCCTAGTTTTTTTAACTGCTTAAGTTTAATTTGTATCGGCCCAAAGATTGTGCAGATGTTCTCTTCTGGCTAGACCAAAGGTCTAGCACTAGCGCCAACAGAATAGAGAGTACCTCCAATGTCATTCTTAATTGCTCTGTTTCCTCAGCAGCCACATCCATACAGCTACTCCACTCCTGTGACACCTTGCAAAATCCATTTGCTGTGTTCGCTTTAGTCTTGGCCTATAGTGTTTTGCAAGAATAGGAGCGGCTTTGATGAAAGAAGCATTAGTATCAAGTAGTGTTTCCCAAACTTGCCTGATCACTGGCTCATCTGGGAAACCTGATGAAATACAGATTCCTGGGGCCTACCCCAGAACCTACTGAATGAGAAGGTATAGGGGCCTAAGGAATCTGAATTGTAACAAGTACCTTGGAGAGTCTTATGATACCACCAGTGAGTAGAGGAGCAAGGACTTGACTTAAATTAGACATCTGAGTGTCCAAAATGTTCCAAACATGTTTAATTGAGCACACCCCATGCTAAACACTTAATAGAACAAAAGGGATATCAGATCAGGAGGCTTTCTGGCTGGCTGCTCGAAACAGGTTCCCAGGTATTGTCTCATTTGGGTCACTGCATATCACAGCTGAATCTTGATCTTGTAGCTCCAAAACTTTGACATTGTCTTTGTGTCAAGTGTCAATGTGACTCTGTAGTGTGATTGTATCTGTGAAGTTAAGGGCTAGTGAGCCATTCCTCCCTAACATTGTAGCACACCTACCTCCAAAGTGGCCAAACCATCCCTGCCACATGGATTTGACACCCTCCACCACCGTCAGTACTGCATCACTACAGCCCTGTCAATACAGCTCTCTGCTAGGGTTCCTATGAACCTAGTGCAGAAAAAAGTGAAGTGGGAAGAGCCTTGATGCTGGAGTCAGAGTAATGAAATCTGAATCTCCATTCCCTTGTATACCTCCTGTGTAATGATGGATCCATTTCTTAATCTCTCTGAGCCTCGGTTTCCTCACAGCGAAATAGGGATGATCAGGTTTATGTGAGAGTTAAATGATATTTTGCATAAAAATTTATTAACTCAACATATATTAATGTCTTCTCTATGCCAGTCTGCATCCCTTGAGCTTGGGAGAGTAATTAACAGCTAGTTGGAACTCAAAGGCCCCTTCCTTCTTTCTACGTGCTTGTCTCATTTAGCACACTGCTCTACAGAGAGGAAGTGTGTACATTTCTCTCCACTGTTCAAAGCCAACTCCTTTTCCCTGTAGTTGCACTGCAACTTACCAAGTTTTTTTCATGATTTTTTTTTCTTTTTGCTATAGCAAAAGACAGCTTTTGATAAAAATTTTCTCTGGGATAATTGTTTTGACCTATTGCACTCTCAAGGGGACACTGTCCAGATCTCAAGCTACCCAGTGGCCTCCCCACTGCCAAGGCCCTCCACCTCAGGCGCCCTGGAAAAACCTATTCCTAGTTCTTATTTTGGTTTCCAGATTCCCCTTTGGGAGGAGGGCTGAACTGTCCTCTTTTGTTGAAATAAGTCCATGGTCATCTTTTGGAAAGAAATATTCTTACCTAGGGCCCTGGTGATGACTGCATTTATGTACACTTTGGGCAGGGACAATTTAAATCTGAGATTTAGGAGTGGGTTCCAAGAGAGTGATGAGCCTTAACATTGGGTGTATCCTTGAATATGTGGGTAGACTTTCATGGAGAGATGGTCCCCAGTTTTTATCATCTTCTTTCTGGGTTCCATGATCCTGGCCTGCAGTAACACTGTTCCTGTTGGCCAGCCAGTTCCTACTCTAATAGTTCTTCATTAGAATGGGACAACCACTCCTTTTACACAATCAAGCAGCTGGCTACTTCCTGAGCAGGGAAGACAAGAAGAGTCACACTAGAACAAGCTGCCTGGCCCCAAAGTAGCCCAGACCTGCATTTGGGCCTCTCAGAACTTCTGTCCTGTGCATGCAGGATGCAACTTAAGAACAATGTCAGGGTGGTCTGTGTGTTCATAGGCCAGGTTCTATGTGTTCAAACCCGGGTTCCTGAAGACAGCACTTTGGGGTTGCAAGCCAAGGAGTGACAGCAAATTGGTGACGGGCATTCTAGAGAGCTGGAGTGTGGGCTGCTATAGGCACAGATCTGGCCCTGAGGAGGCTGGCCATCCTATCCCTTCTAACAGGCCTTGCTCTTGTCTCAATGACAGTGTTGCCGTACCTGCAAGTTATGACACAAGCAAGTGCCGGAAAATCTTCAACAAGGACACCTGCAGTTTTACAGTGGTGGAACGGAAGAATCCAGGAAAAACTTGTTTTGTTGGTGGATGGGTGATGTAATGTACTTCTAGTGGGCCCAGGGCTCCCACCAGAAGGGGCCCAGGACCTGCCAGGCCAGACCTCATTCTCATGTGGCCTCTATGAGCCTATAATTGTGTAATCTTATCTACCAGTAAAAAAATAAAATACAAATAAAAAAAATTGAGCAGACACTTGAATATGTGTATACTTGTGATTTCTAAATTACGTGTGCATTGATTTCAGACACATTATAAAACATGCAAACATTTAAAGGAAGGAAAAAATTAATATGAATAAAAGTTATAGTTTTCCTACACTCCAGTAAATCATTGTACATCTCCTACTCAGGCACTGCTGCTTCTGTTGCTTCTGATATATCTGCACTCTGCTGCCCTGCTGTTCCACTATCTGGGGAACAATTCAAAAAATAAATGTGTCTTCAAAATGAAATCAGATCTCTTATTTGAGTTTTTCATATTTATCTTTCCTTCCTGTTCTTCAGAGAGTGTCCTCTGTGCTGCGTTCCTCACATACCTCTGTGTTTGCCTGAGGTTAGAGCAGGTTAAATAGAGCAGTACAGCCTGGAAGAAGTAGCTCCGAGACCACAGGCAGACAGATGGGGTATTGAAAGGCCAGGGGCTTTGGCTTGGGGGAATGGCTTGAGTGTCAGGCTCCAGTGTCAGTCCTTTCTTACTGCATACAGAAGACCCCAACACTTAGGGATTTAAAATAGTAACAATGTTTATCATCTCCTGCTTTTGTGTTAAAGAACATTTGTTCACTCAACAGATCTATACTAAGTGCCTGGGCCAGGCAGTGCTGTGGGGCTATGGATACAGCAATGAGACAGAGAGACCAGGTGTCTGCTCTCCTGGGGCTTGGAGTCTGTTGTGTACGTACATGACAGATCAAAAATGACAAGGAGTCCTCTGTTGAACAATCTGTGAGCAATTGGTTAAAGAGCTTTATGTCTCTCTGCCCCCTAACTATTCAAACATGCTACTGAACTAGTTGAGCAATCCTAGGTAGGCCCCTTAGTTTTGGGGGAATCACCCTAAGATAATAAAAAAGTGCTTTGGTCACTGTTAGTGTATCTGCATCTGAGTTGAAAAGGGAATGGGGCATGGGTGAGTTAAGGGTATGATGCAGCCTGGGCTCCCTGGTCTTGTGGCAGTGCTTAGGGTGATCACTTCTTTATGGGGCTTCTGTGGACATTCCCTACTTCTCCCTTTTCTCCACAGCTCTCCTTTCACTTACAAACTATGACTATGCTTTCTTCGATTCTGTATACGAATCTACATTTCCTCTTGCTTTCAGCTGAGACTGCCTTGTCCCTTGTAGGAGTCACTCTTGGGTGGGATCCATAAAACCCTATCATGATCATCTCCTTTGTAAATCCCTTATCTTTCTGTGAAAGGTGGGGCTCAGTTAGTACCGAGTACTGGGGACCTCTGTCAAAACAGAGACAGAAAGATTCCTATTTTAACATCTGGTCACAAATAAATAAAAAAATTCCAATGTGAATAATGTCACACTGGGCAGATTGTGAGGGGTACAGGGTGGTGAAATGTGGAGTGTAAAAAATTGTGTTGTGACGTGGTGCAAACAAATTTATTTACTGAATTAAAAAAATGTGGCAAAATACCCATAACAAATTTTAACATTTTAACCATTGTTAAGTGTACAATTAGGCAGTATTAACTACACTCACATTGCTGTGCAAACATCACCACTATCCATATCCAGAACTTCCCATCATCTCAAACTGAAACTTTAAACATTAAACAATTTTTCACCTTTCCCAAGCATGTGGCAAACGACCTTCTACTTTCTGTCTCTATAAATTTGACTACTTTAGGTACCTCATATAGGTGGAATCATACAGTATTTGTCCTTTTGGGTCTTCTGAGATTTATTACATCTGTACCTTAAGGCTAAATAATATCTATTTTGCGACGACAGTTGATGTGACAGGATCACTTACTCCTCGGTACAAAGTTTGCCTTCTGCAAATGTTTGTTTCATTTAATCTGCTTTGCTCAGGAAGGGCAAAAGGACGGTAACCTAGAACACAGGAAAGAGTGCGCGTCTGCGCTCTACGTCCTCTAGAGGGCCGACAAGGCCTTTGGGCTGACTCCAGCAGAGTTCTCGCGACACTGTCAGAAGTGCGGCGTGAGGCGTGAGAGGAAGGTTGTGCTATCGCGAGAACTCTTCCTTTCGGCCCTTGGTTTGTTAGGTGTTGTCTCTCCGGCGAAGGTACCCTCAGATCTCCCGGAATTCCGCTGGTACTTGGTAAGAATCGGAGTGGTTGGGAGGACGGCGACGGGAGCATCTACTCCGGCATTCACGCCTCACCCTGGTTTGGGGCGCCATGACCGCTTTCCTGACGGGCTTGGGCCTGCTCTGCCTGCGGGGCCGGTCTCTTCCTCGACACTCCCGGCCCGCCCCCTTCACCCAGCTCCTCCCGAGCCCTGCCGGCCCGCCGGCCCGACGTGTCTTCCTCTCCTCGGCCAGCGACATTCTCGCCCCGTGTTCCCCTCATCCTCCCCGCCCGCCTTCCCCTGGCCGCGGCTCTGACAACTCCTTGTTTTTGCTCGCTCGCGCTGTTGTCTCTTGGAGCGAGGTGAGGACCGTTTTCCAGAAAGTGCCCAGAATATATGAATTCCTAGCCTGTTGGGTGGAAACGTGAAGAAGACAACGTTTTTTTTTTTTTCCCTAGCGCTCTCTGTGCTCACACAGCGTTGCTTACTGCCTCCTGTAATTATCCCTACTATCCCTACAGTCTCGAGAGGCTAACAATAATCATATAAATAGCCTTACTTGCTATGTGTTATTATGTGGGATGATGTGTTCAAGGACAGCAGAAGTCAGTGCTACGGTCTATTTGATGGCAAGTTCACCATAATGTCCTCAGGGACTATCACAGTATATGTCAGCTTAGTCACTCCATAAATATTTGTTGAATTAATACATAACATCTTAAATAAATGTAGAAGTTCGGTTCATTGAAGGGGTGAATAACTGACAAGCTAGGTTAAAACTTACTGCTTGTCTTTTTGGTCATAGATAATAAGCTAAGTCTTTTAATACTTGTATGATTACAGATTTTATGAGAACATAATCTTGGGTATACATTAAGTTTTATTTTTGTGTTGTTATTATCCCCAGGCTTTAGAGGAAGGAAATTATCACTTATGTATGTGGGGAGGGGGAAGGACAAGATGTTTACCCTATAAAATCATGGATAAAGTGGCATTATGACTGTGATAATAGATAAATAACATGTTTTTCTATCTTTGGCTATATTATGGTAAGAAGTTTCAAGTTGAAGTTAGGGCACAGCCCCAGTTCTAAAAGCCTACCAAACAACTGTGACATCAGCTGGAATGTCTGTGGCACTGCAAAGTCTGAGGAAAAAATCCAGAGATGTCTGTAAATACAGTTATGTTTCCCCTTTAACTGACAAACCTGCTGTTGCTTAGCTTCTGTTTAGCTAAGCTTTGATGGGTCTGGCATCAGAAAAGACACTTTATCTTAGCGTCTCTCCTGGAATCACGGTTTCAGTGGCAGTACCCTTGCCAGTTTTATCTTGTTTAAAAGAAAACTAAAAGTAAAAATTAGAACCTCTTCTGAAAAAACTTCCTGAACTAACAAAGGCCTTAGTGAGATACTAAGTTGGTTATGTTTAAAGCAGAACTATGCCATACTTACTGTGGCTGGTCTCAATTTAAGCGTTTATAATTTATTCATCCACCCACCCATTTATTAAACATGTATTAAGCCTCCGTTGAGTTTAGGGCCACATTATTGCACAACTCCAGGAACACCATTCTTTTTCTGTTAGTTCAAGAGTGCACGCAGGATGTAGAGGGGATTGTTAACGCCAAGATACTGGTACCAGGCTCTCCGTTTGGCATTTGGATGTACAAAGCCAAATAAGATACAGACCCTTCTCTTGGAGAGCTCTCAGCCTAGGGAGGCAGACATGTAACAATAAGGGTAACATGTTACAGGTGTCATGCTGGAAACCTGTCCAGATTACAGTGGGCCCAGAGGAAGCAGCAGCTAACTCTATTGGCCAAAACTTTTAAGAAATGGGGTGTTTGGTCAGAAAAGGCTTAGTGATGGCTGTGACTTGATTGAGACTAGTCAGAAAAGTGGTTAGGAAGGAACTGGTATTGCCAGCAGAGAGAGTGGGAGAGCCAAAATGGACAAGGTGAGCCAGCTTGGAGTTTGCAGGAACAGGCTGTCTGGTGGATCATGGTGTGGGGGTTGTTCTGGAGAAACTGCAGAAGAGTCAGGCTGAAGCCAGAAAGTAGAGAATCTTATAGGTGTGAAGCCATTGAAGAGTTACAGTTTGTGCTCTCTCTAGATGAGTTCATCAACTATGAAATGAGACTGTAGAAATCTTGGAGCAGAAGAGGAGTAAAATGCTTTATGAATTTTCCCCCTTTAGCACCTAAACATTTTATAAAGATGTAAGGGCAAATAATGCAGGTTAAGGGAGTAAAGATGTGCTTGCAAAGTAGTCTGAATGCAGAATTTAATAGATGTTTTTTTCCCAGTCTTTTTATGCTAATACAATATTTTAAAAATCACATCACATCATTATATTGTAGTAACAGCTAAAGCTGACTTAAGATGAATGAATAAACACTGACTCTCAGTAATTGTGTAACAGTGGGAATTCAAGTGAGGGGAGAGCTTGAGTATTTAGTGTGCTGAAGCATCGGTCATCTTTTACAAAGGGCATGAGACCACTGGTTATGTGGTGATGGTCAACATTGTGACTATTTTATAGGGGCACATAAAAGAGAGATGAAAGTTCTTGGTATCAGCTATATTTTAATAAACTGGAAATTCCTCCTTTCCAGCCATTGACTGAAAGTACAAAGAACCATACATTTTGAACTTTTCGTCATTCAGTGGTATGTCTAGGGTTTTCTTTTTATTTTTTTCTTGTATCTTCACAAAATGCTATCCAATGAAAGTATTTTGAACTAAGAGAGAAATTGTTCCCTCCTTATTTTTGATACCAAAAGCCTGAAATGTGAAGCTGTGCATCACAGATAAAGCAGGCTCCTAAACAAACTTCATCTGAAATCTGATGGATGCTTAACTGAAGATGATGGCCTTTAGTCTGCCCTTTTTTTGGTCATGTGGTTTTGCTTTACTCTTATTATTTCCAAAAATAGCTTCATATCCATAGACAAAAGCAAGCACTTTATATTTAAAAAATTAATTGAAAGGGAATGGCATTGCTGTCTAGATTTTGTCTCTGGCCAGATTGGAGTACCATGAACATGATACTCATCAGACAGGAAGTACTAATGTGTGCCAGGCACTGCCCTAACCATTTTATACATATTAATTCATGTAATTCTCATTGAGTTTGTTCCATTATTATTGTCCCCATTTTACAGATGGGAAACTGAGGCACAGATTGGTTAAGTGACTTGCCTAAGGTTACACAGTATGTAAGTGACAGAGCCAGGTTTTGTACCCAAACGGAGCCATATTCTTACCGCCTGTGTATTGTATTGTTGCCTCTCCAGATAGGGTTCTCAGTTTCACTTCTGCAATCACCTCACCTAAATAGTGAGTGCTTGGCATCTGGAAGATGCTCATTCAACTTTTGTTTAATGAAAAGCACCCATGAGTGTTAAAACAGCACAGGACTGAGGTCGTGTGGGGCAGTGTGTGTGTGTGTGTGTGTGTGTGTGTGTGTGTGTGTGTGTATGAGAGAGAGAATGAACCAAGCACAGAGACTCATGGGGTAGGGTACGGGGTGGGGCCTGAGGTTGCTGTTAGATGTGTGTCAGAGCTGTGAGAGATGTCTGACAGCCTGAAACAAAAGCCAAGGGCTGAATCCCCGCTGGGCTGACGGTGACATTCCCAGAGGGAGTCACAAGCCCTTGGCCAGGAACATTCCAATGATACTTCGGTAAGCTTCTGACTTTCCCACGTTTGTTATTTCCTTGAGGTGATTAGCAGCAAAATTCTTAAATCATAAACGTCTTGACGATTTGGGGCGCTCAAGGGTGGGTGGACACACACTAATCGCTGGAGCAGGTGGACGGAAGAGAGGTTTGGAGATGCTTTGCTCCACCTGGCAAGCGTTGTTGGAGACTGAGGGTAGGGGGGCTCCGGTTGCCTAGAGGGCCCATTGGCTGGCTGACTGGGCGAAGCCTCGGGCCCCTACGCCTACGTGCGCGCTCCTGGCTGCTGGTGGCCGCTGACGGGGTGGGGTGGGGGGGCGGGGCCTAATCCTTAGGCTTGGAGACTTATTATCCTTGGACTCCGGGCTGTTTAGGCTGTGGAGACCTGGCTTTGGAGGTCTGTTCGGCCGCTGGGAATCGCGGCGGGAGCCCTCGGGGTTGGCTGGCCGTGCGGGGCCCTTCAGTCGCAGCCCCACGCAGGCGTGCTGAGCGGTGACTGCCGCCTCGAAGCCGAGAGTGAGAGGCGCAGCCTCGTCTTCTAGAGAGCAGAGGACCTAGGACTTCGTAGGGAGATTGGCTGCTAAGAGTTGGGGAACCTGGAAGGTTACGTGAGTCACTGTTGATTTTGAACTAGACAAGCCTTACTTGGCATTAGATGTTAAAGATCAATTTTGTGGTCTGTTTCCAGCTACTGTTCCAGGAGTTGATTAGCTGGGATTGATTGCTCATAGTTACTTTCATAAAAGGCAAATCTGAGCGCTGTAATCTCTGGTGTTAAACAACCTTAAAATATGACTGACGGATGGATGGATTAATGGATGAATCAGTGGGTGGGTGGATGTCATCAGTGAAGCACTGATTATAATGTAAGAAATTACCATTCTTCTAGGAGCTGATAAATTCTCTAAGCCACAGGAAACAAGTAAACAAGAAATATAGTAATATTTTAAAAGAATATCTAAAATAACTTCACAAATAAAGCACTGGTATAAAATCAAAGCACATTTCTCATAGTTTGGGCAAATCTCTGCCTCTTCTTCTGGTCCTCAACCCAGTGACATTGGCCAGTCATTTTGTTCAGTCTAGATTTCTATTTCTCTGACAGTTTTGGACAGTTTTTTAAAATGTATATAGTTGAAGAAAGATTTACACATTTCCATCACATTTAGTAATTCTGTTTATTATCTAAATAGACACTGATATTTTGGTAAGGTGCACTGAACAGAGTACAAGTTCAGTGGAATTTAACTGACTTAAAAAAATAGTATTTTTCAAAGAAATGATGATTAATTTTCTGCTTTGAGCTATGACATCACAGCAGAATGCGAGATGGGGTGGGATGGAAATTTAATT